TAAATAATCCAAGAAACATGACAGGTATAAGAATGACTGAAGGTAATAAAGAAACAAGAACAACAACTACTAATTCATTAGCTAATATATTCTCGAAAAAGTTGAAAATTAAGTGATAATGGTTTGAAATCGGTAGACACGCTGCTATTAGGAAGCAGTACTAGAGCATCTCAGTTCGAGTCCGAGATCATGGCTATTGAGAACAAATCAAATCAGATGGTTCTATTTCTCAATCTTTCTATCTTGCTTCTAAAGAACCAAGGTCAAAAAGACTGAGAAAAATCAGTCATTCACAACCACTGATGAAGGATTCCTCGAAAAGTTAAGGATTAGTAATCCGTTTTAGAAATCAAATGGGTTCGATCATATACATACGCGAAGAAGGTAATAAAAAAAGAGAGAAATAAGATAAGTTCTTCTTTACTTTTATCACTTAGGAGGTCAACCTCTTTCAAATATACGATTCCGGCAATGCAATGGAGTTGGACTTTCATGCGGATCCGAATGAATCATCTTTTCCATGGAGATAAATCCTTGCATGCTAAGGAAGAGGATAACAAGTTACAAATTATGTTTAGCAAGTTACAAATTTTGTTTCGGTAGGACATGTATTCGAACAACCTAAAATTCAGCTATTTCAACTACATTAAATGATATTTCAAATTGGTCAAGACTCTCCAGTTTATGGCCACTTCTTTATGGTACCAGTTGTTGCTTTATTGAATTTGCTTAATTTTCAATTAATTATAATGCACATACTTTATTTTTTGTCTTCTCCGAATTCATATCGATATGATGCTTACACTCCATCATCTTAACTTGTTTTGAAGGTGTTAAGTTTAGATTCATCATCGACGTGAAAAAGATAAAATCTAAGCCTGCACACTTAACATAACACAAAGCAGAAACAACCACCTGTACCGATACTCCTATATGGAGTACCAGTACTCGTATTCAATACCCAAACAACGTACATATATTGTACCAGTACATATAGGGTACCGATATGGGCATGCCCACGTATCGATACAAACGAACCAGTGTACCAGTACACGACAATGGATGTTTAATAGTCGAAAACAAAAGCGTGTATTAGTTGTTGCTCTTGGAGTCACAGCACCGGTTTAAAAGACCTAAAATAAACACAATAAAATCCGTTCTTCACATCTCATGGTTTCGATTTATTTAATTGATATTTATACTTTAATTTATTCAATTATTTCAAAACAAAAAATTCAATTTACTTTAGAAGTATTGCGCTCTTATTATCTAAAACGAGAAAAATATTTTTCTAGTGCTTAACTGTTGTAATTGGTTTTGTTTGATGTAATTTTTTTAATTAGAAAATGAACAATCTAGAAAACATAAGGCTTGCATCAAGGACGAACTATGTTTGTCTTTATCTAAAAACTTAACAATGGTAGAAGGATCTTCAAAAACGACGATTCTGTCTGGGAGGGGATCAGCTTTCTTGGCTAAAGCATTAGTAGTGGCGTTATTCCGACGGGGAGTCCAAAGAATAGAAGTTGCACATGCCTTATTTCAAAGTCTAGCAATAGCATGAACTAGAGGGATTGGATTGGACCCAGCATCCGGTTGATCAGGAAGTTTTGTTGCTTCAAGAGAGTCGGTTTGAATAACTAGGAGTTCGAATCCTTGCTCCCAAGCTAGCTGAAGGCCAGTGAAGATGGCCCATAATTCCACTTGTAGCGTTTGCACTATTCCAATCATTTTGTTGAAGTCTAACATCCAGGATCCTTCATGATCGCGGAAAACTCCTCCTATAGAACCATAACTCGTTGACGAGAGATGGCACTGTCAACGTTCGGACATATCCAGCTTGGAGCAGGAGCTTTCTATTGGACTGATTTGATAATTGTTTGTCGAGGTTGGTCTTGACGTATAGTTCCTTCAGAGTAGTAGCGAGCCCAAGTAATACTTCTTTCTGTAATAGTAACGACGGAAGTGTAAACTTGGTTAAAGACTTTATCATTCCGACACTTCCATAACTGCCAAAGAGTAGATCCAAACACAGTTGGCCAAGCTAAGTTCTAGGGGCTGATAACACCTGAGATGTGAGATTAATGGAAAACCAATCATGCAAATCAGTTTCAAAACAGGTAATAGCAGGCTGCGAAGGAATAATAGGTTTCCAGACAGGCTTGGCATCATCACAATCACGCAAAACATGGAGGGTGGTCTCATGCATAGTATGGCAGCTCGGGTAAAAGGGTTGGTGCCCTATAAAACGCCGACATCTTTCATAATTAGTCATAATTTTTTACTTAAAAGATAGCCACAAGAAAAGTCGTAATATATGAGATAGAGGCAAAGTCCATATAACCTTCCAAATTGGGAGTTTAGGATCCCAGTTGTCAGGTACTAAACAACCATAATCTGATTTAGTGTCAAATTTACGATTACTGCTTGGACTCCTGTAAAGGCAATCATCAGCATCCATTGGATCCGGGCTTTTAACGCTGGAAATATGGACGAGGGCTTCGGTAATAAAGAACCAGGAGAGCTTGGCCATATCCCAATTGCCCATGTGGTCAATGAGGTAGGAGAAATGTTCAATGGGAATAGGCTCAGACGGGTTCCGTAAATGATTTGTAAGGGGACCAAGGTCTGAAATCCAGACATCCTTGAGCAGGTGAGTATTGTTCCCATTACCGATGGACCATGCGATACTTGCCCGAAGGTCTGTCCAAGAAGATGAAATAGCTCTCCATAAAGGTGTTGAGTTGTTTCTATTTATAGATTTAGGACAAAGAGAGCACATCTTGTATTTTTGTCGTAAAATACGAACCCTGAGGGCGTCGAGTTTAGTGACAAGAAAGAAGCCAGTTTTTAGCATGAAGGCTAAATTAAAGTCGTAGTCTTCCGAATACCAAGCCCTCCATAGTCCTAGTTCACAAGTGAAATTTTTGGCGAGGTAGATTTGGAGCCCCAAATGAATTGCCTCATGATTTTCTCAATTTTATTGCAAATAGTGCGGGGAAACAAAGAAGTTTGCATAAAATACACAGAGATAACTGCAAGAAATTGCTTGGCTAAAGTGATTCGTTCGGCCATAGAAAGGGATCTAGAAGCTCATCCAAACAGACGACTCCACATTTTGTCAAGAATAAAATCATAATCCGACACTACAAGAAAATATACCTTTAATGACACACGAACGATGATACACGCTAATTTATGACTTGCAAAACACGTGTGTCATAAAAAAATGTCATGTTTTTTAAAATCTGAACGATTTATGACTTACAATAATGTGTGTCATATTTAATAGTCATAATCCAAAAAAATTACAAAAAATACGGAGTACACATTTAATTGTGTGTCATCTTTAGAAGTCGTATTCTAATTCCCCCCCATTATTTTCATCCTTTCTCGCTTCTTCCCCCTCCATAATTATCAGTTCACGCCGCTTCTTCCGACCATGTATCACACAACAAATGGAATCCCACTCTTATTTTAACCAATTTTAAAACAAACAACCAGAGAAAAAGCTCCAGACTTTAACAGTTGCAAACGCCAAGAGAATCTAAGTTCCCCTTGCAAATGAGGGTTGGAATTGTTTTTCTTTATTATTATCATTTTCGTAGTGTTTTTCCCCGGTAAATAATCATTTTTGTTTTTTTACAGGGGGAGGTAATCACATTGGCCATCTAATCCATGGGTGTTGCTGAATAAAAGAGACTTGTTTGTTTCAGGAATAGCTATTGTAAAATCCAAGGAAACTGGGGGGGAAAATTAGGTGCAGTGCTTATATATGAGATTGCTGATAACAATATTCCACCATTCCCAATTTTACATTTTTCTTTGAAGCTCTCTTAATCTTTGCCCCTTCCTTTTCCTTTATGTCTCTGTTTTGAAAATCAGACCGGACCGACCGGTTCAATCGGGAACCGTTACTTAGTCCGGTTCAATCTAAACCAGTTGAACCGCTATTAGTGAACTAGTCAGAATCGCTGAACCGTTCGAACCGGACCGGCTGAAAACCGAAAAAAACCAGAAAAAACCGGGAAAAACCAGGATTTTTGTTTTTGTTTTAAAAAAAAAATTAAAACAAACAACGTCGTTTGTTAAACGAGCCAAGTCGAACTCGAGTATTGCTGAGCTCGACTCGAACTTGAAAACTTTAAAAGTAAGCTCAACTCAACTCAAACTCACAAGCTAAAAATTATCAAGTTCAACTCAAACTCGAAATATAATATTGAAACTTGAACTCAAAAAGGCTTGAACTCAAAAAAAATTTAGAAGCTCGATTGAAGCCTAAAATTCGAGCTTGATTGAAGTGAAAGAATAGTTTACTCAATGCTCACCAAAAAGCTCCATGATTTTGAATGCCAAATTACTCTATTATTTATAGAAGTTAGTTGTAATGCGCTTCTAGGTTTCTTAGCAATGTGAGATTGCTTTGTTCTCATATTTTTACTCTTTAGACTTTTGGGATGCTCTTCTATGTTTAGCCATGTGAGATTGTTTTTTTTTAAATTAAACCAAACAATATCATTTTGTTATGATTTTTTAACCCCAAATTTATTTTTTAATTATAGTTATATAATTATATTTATTATTTAATATGTTTTACCTTAAATATTATGTTGTAGTTAATTTGAATCATTTTGTTTCACTTGATTTTATGGTTTTTAACTTATATATGTTATTACTTGCTTTGAATATGACTTGTGATAAAAAAATTAATTTTTATTAAATATTTTTGGTATTTTTATTTAATTTTTTAAATAATTATAATGTCGTCCGGTTCTTCGGACCGGTCGAATCGGGTTCGACCGATTGAACCAGTGAACCGATAGTATGACCGGTTCGTTAACCGGTCCGATTCTGAAAACCATGCTTCATGTAATCTCATTTTATGATATTAAAACCCCTAAAATCCTAAATAGAAATTCGTGAACTTGCAAATCTTTCTGCCCTGTTTGTTATGTCTTGAAAGGAGTTTTCTTTATACTGTTTTTTTTTGTGTGTGTAACTTATGAAGAAAGATCTGCGTTCGCATTGGAGTTTAAGGTACTGTAAGTCTGTAATCTCCACTTTGGGTATCCTCAAATTTTGGAACTTTGTTGAAATAGAGCCAAAAGGGTACCCAAATAATCTTTCTTTTTTCTGGGATTTTTGCATGTTGATTTATTTTCAGATTGCTTACTATATAGGAAGACGATGGCTGGCAATGGGATGTTATACCCAATTCTTGGATTTGCTTCGTGTATGGCTTTTATTTATATGTCTTTTGGTGATTTGAAGCTTAGTAGGTTCCCTAGGGAACGAGGATTAAGTTTTGTGGAAAGGAATGGGACTCATTTCTTTTTAGATGGGAAACCATTGTACGTTAATGGCTGGAATTCTTACTGGTTAATGTCCCATTCTGTGGAGGAAAATACTAGACCTAAGGTCAGTGCAATGCTTCAAGCTGGTGCAAGGATGGGTCTCACTGTTTGTAGAACCTGGGCCTTTAATGACGGTGGCTATAATGCTCTCCAGATTTCCCCAGGGCAATTCGATGAGCGAGTTTTCAAGGTATTTGTTCGAGATTTGGGTTTTTCTTTTTTGTAAATTTTGATATTTGTATCGCAAATTATCAGTTGTATAATCTCAATCCTATATGATCCTTGTGTTCAATGCAAGCGCCATTTTGGTTTCAAATTTACAAGAGATTATTGCACAGTTGCTAATCTAAACTAGGATTGTCTTGAATATAAATATGATAGGGCTCTCTAAAACTGTAATCTAGAAAGTTGGAAATGAAATAGAATAGCAGGATAAGCTATTCAGATTTCAATTTGCTTCTATTTCTAGGCCGATTGATTAGAAATCTGTCAAAAATCGTTGAATAATCAACTCAGTTGTGTTCTCGAATGCCGTTAGTATGATAGTAGAGTACAGTTTCTCGGTTAATGTTATTTATGTTGATGAATATCGATCTTTCCAGGCCTTGGATTATGTCATTGCAGAAACAAGGCAGCATGGAGTCAGGCTGCTTCTGAGCTTTGTAAATAATTTGCAGCCATATGGTGGAAAGACGCAGTATGTCGACTGGGTGTGGAAAGAAGGCATTGGTTTGAGCTCTTCTAATGATTCCTTCTTCTATGATCCATCAATCCGCAAATATTTCAAGAATTACGTCCTGGTATCTCATCGTCTATCTAACTTTCACCAATATCTTTTTCTTATATTTGAATAATGAAAATTTTCTTCCCTTGCATCACGAAGCATGTGTATCACTGCATATCTTCTATGAATTGTTCTTGGAGTACTGACATTACATTGTTAAAATAGATAAATCTTAATGTTCAAAGGGGAACCCGATGCTGCAAGTTTCGCATAAACTTGTTTATAAATTTAGTGCTTACTGTATATAGCCCTGTAAACAACAAGTACCAGGCGTCTCGCTTGTTGATGACAAACAAAAAAGTTACAACAATTTGATTGTGAAAGAGAACTGAAAGTGAAAGGAAATGTGTTGTTACTCCATAATTATCAAATAATGGTTCAGTTTTAGTTATAGATGTGCTTGATGATATTGTCACGCCCCCAGAACTTCGACGCCTCATACCGTCGGAATATCAGAGTCAAGGTCTGACGGGTCGTGCGGCCTTAGACGCTTTAGACGCTCCTCGGTCTTCTCGGAGACTAAGTAAGCCTTACCCAAGCTAAGTGAGTGTGCAAACTCACAAAGGTTGGAACCAAGCCCTTAAGGCTTCGGATTGCGGAAGCTTTAAACACTAATGTGGCTACTCGGAGCCACAAGGTCGGACTATCGTGTGGAAGTACTAACACGAAGGTGGCTACTCCTGGCCACCGAGATAGACAACAAGAACAAAGACTAAAGAACTTAGAAAGGTAGAGCAAATGCCTCAGAGCTTTATATTACTCTCTCAAAGAGAATAATGGAATTGGGTGATTACAAATGAGGAGGGGAGCTCTCTATTTATAGTTGAGCTCCCTCTCAATCGATGGCCGAGATCGATTTACATGAAGGGCTAGGATTGATTCCCACCTAACCCAATCCCTTAAATCAAGGAAATCCCACCTAACATTATCCTTCTAGAATCCTCCAAGGAACGGGCCAGATCTGATGGTTCTGGGCAAGCCCAATAGTCTGTATAATTCTCTTACAGATATCTGCGCGCACATGTCTCGGTTTGAGTCCACGAGCCTTGACATAATTGCCCCCATCGCCCTCGTCGTTTCTCTCGAACGCCTCGGAATAGATCCTTCACGGACAGGTTAAGCATTCTCCAAGAAATGGCTAAGTCTGGTGCTCTCGGGAAGCCCGATGTTTTAATTTGAACCTCATCGTCGGACCCATGCATCGATGTCTAGGACCCAAGTTCCTAGCCCGTGACATTCTCCCCCACCGAACCTAGCGACGCCCTCGTCGCTGCACTCGACGATCCTGGGCAACATCACCTTGGATACTTTCGAACGCCTTGGCTTGTTACGGTCCTCCCATACGGACTGCTTGCCTTGGCTTCTGCCGCTTGTAACTTCACGATCTCTTGCGCCATACTTTACATCAACTTGGTTGCCTTTCGACGCCACCACTTGCTCACGTCCTCCCATAAGGACTCAGCCTCCCATAATGGCTGTGCTTGCTTCGACTCTTGCCGCCAAGTGATGAAATGGGCTAACACGCCCACAAGTGCATTTCTTCCGTAGGAACTCCATCCTACAAGTCTTGATTTGCCTCGGTTTGGACCCTCCTGGCCCTTGCAGAAAAGTCTTGGATCCCATCTAAACTTTTTGATTCTCCCGCGTTAAGAGTTAGGTCTTGCTCGACCTACACTCGCTTAAAATGGCAAATTAAACTCAAAAGAACACAAGAATTGTGCTGAGATGTACCTTCCCCTCTAATTTAGTTGGCATTTGCTCAAATTTTTGCGTCAGCCCTTCTTACTCCATGAAGTCTGACACTCCCCGCATTGAACCCTTGTCATTGGAGTTCTTTGCGCCATCATACATCGGCACTTTCTCACGGCAAAGTCCGATGCCCCTCCTCCCTTCTAACACAAAGATTGGAGCTCGCTTTCCACCTCGGAAATGGGTGGTGTCTCCTGCACTTGGCTTCTACTCGCCTTGTTAGAAACATATCGTATTGCGCCAAGTCTTAACGCCCCCTGGATCTTTGGTTCGTCCTCTTCTCTGGACAACTCGATCCTGGGCTCATCCCTTACCTTGGATGACTCGGCTCCCCTCGGGTAATCTTGCAACACCTCGGGCACCTTAAGTTTGCGCCCCCTGGTTTGCTCGGCTCTCACCCTCGGCTTAGCATATTCGGCACTTGAACTTGTGCCAAGACTGCGCACATCATCTCCAGACTCACCGTCTGGTTCATCATTGAGTGGATCTTCTCTACCACTCGAGGAACAACCTTCCTCATCATCCGACTTGCCTTCATTTTGGAATCTCCTGCCGCTACCCTCGGCTTTGGGCTTTGCTTTGGAAGTCTTCTTCTTGACTCCAAATTCTTTGATGGACTCGACGGTTGTCAAGGCTTTAGAAAGCCCCTTGACTTCCCTTCGCTCCAACACTTTCTTTGCCCACGGCTTCAATCCGAACATGAAGGTGAAGAACCCTTATTCGTCAGTCAAACTTGGGACTTTGAGCATGAGTCTTCGGAATCGGCTCACATACTCCTTGAGTGTCCCCTTATGCCTGAGGAGCCTCAACTTGGACCACGCCTCCATCCTGGCATATTGTGAGCGGACCTGCTCACTTTGTACCCTCGGCTTGACGGCTATATCATTTGCTATCGCACCGGGTCCTTTCCTATGCTCGACTGCTTTGACACTCGCAGTCTCGGCACGTCTCGATCCTGGCTCGACTACTTGAGAACTTGTAGTCGCACCATGCTTTCCCCTTAATTCGGCTACTTTGGAACATGTAGACTCGTCAAGTCTTGCCCCTGACTTGATTGCTCGATCATTCTCAATCGCATCTGGCTTCCTTCTCGGCTGCCTCATCATCGACAGCTTTGCCTTGTCTTGTTCGTTGCTTGGCCGCATTGATCCCATCAATCGGACCAAGTCTTTCCCTTGACTTGGCAGCTTTACTCGTGCCTCCGCCAACTCTCGCTACTTCTCCTTCTCCCATCATCCTCATGGTGGTTGTAAGGCGACGCTTCTCGGGACATCCTCTTATCAAGTGAGGACCATCACAGAAGTAGCATTTCAGCTTTTCCTTGCTCGCCTTCTTCTTTTCCCCAGACTTGGCCTTACCATTCTTTACCGATGGCTTTCCTTGGCTGCGAACAGTCGTTGGCTCAACTTGGCCACTCGAAGAGCTTTCTATACCATCTCCCCGCTGCACCATTTCTCGGTCTCCCCCATTGTTGCCACTATTCCTGGGCATGGGCCTGGACGACACATTGCTACTTGGCTTGACATCAGCAAGCTCAGTTAGCGTTCTGGCTACAGCTATGGCTCCCGAAAGTCTCTGGGCATCACCTTGCTCTTCCCCGAACATCATCCCTGGTCTAAGTCCTTCCAAGAAGGTCTTGAGCGCACCCCATTCACTCATTGCTCCCTTGCAAATGAGCAGCTCCCTCTTGAGCTCATCCACCTCGTTTCTCAAAGCCGCTACCTCGGCTTCTTGGGCATTTCTCCCTCGAACCATCTCCAACTCGTCTAGAACTCGTTGCATCTCGACCTTGAATCTACCCTCCATGGACTAATCGATCAAGGCGGGACTCCACAACACCTTGGGTCTGCTTGGCCTCATCCTCGGCTTGTTCAAGTCTACCGACCCTTTGTTCCCACGAAGTTGAGATATACTCTAGATTAATGAGCCTCTCTGTGTGGTCAGCAATACATTCCATCCAGTAGGCCATTTCTCGTACAACGAGAGTTCTTCTTGTTCATCATGAAGACTCTCCTCGTCTTCATGAGAGAATGTGTCTTGCTCGGACATGTCTTCGGCGTCACCCTTGAGCCTCTCTACCTCGAGAACCGGCTCCCCATGGTGTGCTATAGTTGCCTCGAGCATTCCTTGCGAACTCGTCACGGTATCCTCATGCTTGGACACCGATGATGCTCTTGAGCCCCTCGGACTCTCATCTTGTTTCCCACCATGGCACTCCTTGCCTTTGCGTGCGGAAACTCCTCTTTTCTTGTGCCCCATTTCAATTATCAAATTAAATTAAACGAAGAGTAAGTAAACAGAACTTACCCGGTTTCACACCCTCCACCAAATACGTTTCGACCGTGATCTGCTCACAACGAAACGCTCTGATACCACTTGTCACGCCCCCAGAACTTCGACGCCTCATACCGTCGGAATATCAGAGTCAAGGTCTGACGGGTCGTGCGACCTTAGACACTTTAGACGCTCCTCGGTCTTCTCGGCGACTAAGTAAGCCTTACTCAAGCTAAGTGAGTGTGCAAACTCACAAAGGTTGGAACCAAACCCTCAAGGCTTCGGATTGCGGAAGCTTTAAACACCAGCGTGGCTACTCGGAGTCACAAGGTCGGACTATCGTGTGGAAGTGCTAACACGAAGGTGGCTACTCCTGGCCACCGAGATAGGCAACAAGAACAAAGACTAAAGAACTTAGAAAGATAGAGCAAATGCCTCAGAGCTTTATATTACTCTCTCAAAGAGAAGAATGGAATTGGGTGATTACAAATGAGGAGGGGAGCTCTCTATTTATAGTTGAGCTCCCTCTCAATCGATGGCCGAGATCGATTTACATGAAGGGCTAAGATTGATTCCCACCTAACCCAATCCCTTAAATCAAGGAAATCCCACCTAACATTATCCTTCTAGAATCCTCCAAGGAACGGGCCAGATCTGATGGTTCTGGGCAAGCCCAATAGTCTGTATAATTCTCTTACAGATATCTACGCGCGCATGTCTCGGTTCGAGTCCACGAGCCTTGACATAATTGCCCCCATCTCCCTCGTCGCTTCTCTCGGACGCCTCGAAATAGATCCTTCACGGACATGTTAAGCATTCTCCAAGAAATGGCTAAGTTTGGTGCTCTCGGGAAGCCCGATGTTCTAATTTGAACCTCATCGTCGGACCCATGCATCGATATCTAGGACCCAAGTTCCTAGCCCGTGACAATATACATAGACTTTGAATTGATTGCTCATTTGCGATAGTGATGTTGGGGAAATCAATAATGCTTGCGGTCCATTTTTTATGGTATATTATTGATACTCCTATATTTATATCCCTGCATTAATGGAAGAATAACTTTAATTTTTTTTTAAATGGAAAATAAGCTGGGCTGCTAAGATTATGTCTAGTGAGATAGGATGTATGTGTTTGACTACTTAATCAGTTTTTCACAAACAGAAAACCTGATTAAAGTTTTCATATTTTTGGAATCTTTACTATTAAACCTTTTGAGAAGTTCTATTTATTCCATAAATATTTGTTTGAATGTCCTCCTGAAATTTTGCTTATGGTGATTTTTCTGTTGAAATATGTTTTTGCAGCA